CTTCTCTGGACACGCTCCAGCACCTCAGCATTGGTTGTACAGAAAATCCCCTGGGCGAAGGTAACACGTACCTGAGCCCAGGACCTCAGCGTGTGCAGCTCCGTCCTGCGGTTCGCTCTGCGTCATGTAGGGCGTGAAACAGAATTCGGTCCCGGTTACGGGAACTATCAATTAAACTAAAAGGCAGATAGCGGAGGCTTTCAAGCGAGATGATGAAATCTCCCCTTTTTTTTTTTTTTGATGGAAAGTACTTGTTTCATTATTTGAATTCCCATCCTTCAAATTAATCGTTACATAATTTCATGTGATTAACTTCTTTTTGTACCTCTTCTGTATCTCTTTTATTCATACATGGAGCCATGTAATTTAATATTCAGTTATCTGTATCAAATCCCAATTAGGGTTTACATGACTGTTTTATTCTGAAGTATTGTCTGCATATAGCCCACAGTAGGAATTTCTAACTTCATATAAGTGATTTTTTTTTTTTTTTTTAACCCCCCCCTTTTAGGTAGGTGTGAGCAAACTGCAAAAGATTTATGGTGCTTTGGAATCTTGCTTTCTGCTTTCAAACTGGGGTGAAATAGTCTGGACATTAAAAAAGTCATCCAACAGGCTTAGAAATTTTTTTTTCTTTATGTTGAATATTTTAGGAGCTGAACGTGAGCAGGGAAGGCAGGAAAGCCAGGGCTCTCGGGGTGGCGGAGGGAGAGGAGTTGCCTGTGTTGCCCAGGAGGGAAGTTGGGCAGTTTGGGTTGCTGCAGTTGCTGCAGGACCTTTTGGAAGCTGATGAGAATAGACTGGTAGCTCGTTGTTGCAAAAGAAGAGATGGAGAAAATTAGTTTCAGTTAGCTGTCAAACACAAGACTGTGAACTTCCCCTATTGCCAGAAGTCAGAAATTGGAGGAAGGATCAGGCAGGAGATAAGTAAGCTGAAATAATGGAAAACAGTGTTTTTCTACTACTTTTTTTTTTTGGAAGGCAAATATTGTCAATTGAAACATCAAGTTAGAAAACCTGCTTGTCTTAGAACACCAAGAATCTACAAAATATTTTTTAATATTTTATTTCCTTTTGGGAAAGGAATAGAAAAACTTCCATACATATAGAATTCGTCACCCCTGAAGTACAGTCCCATTTGAGAAAGGAGTGGTTAAAAGGTGGCGATGTTTTTTTTCCCTGATTTGGGCCCAGGGGATCTGCACGTGGCACTCTGATTGTCCTAAGAAGACAAATTTTATTCTATATTTGTATTCTATGCTTTTTGACTCTGACAAATACTTGAAATAGGAGTGTGTGATATTAACACGTGTCGTAAGAAGGGACTCAAAGCAAGAAAACACGGGAGTTCAGCCTTTGCTTCTGGATGGCTCATTTTATCAGCTGATCCGCTGGAAATCGATCGGAGATCTTTTGTAGTAACACGTGTCGTAAGAAGGGACTCAAAGCAAGTAAACATGAGAGTTCAGCCTTTGCTTCTGGAATGGCTCGTTTTATCAGCTGATCGGCTGGAAATCGATCGGAGATCTTTTGTAGCACGTGTCGTAAGAAGGGACTCAAAGCAAGAAAACACGGGAGTTCAGCCTTTGCTTCTGGATGGCTCATTTTATCAGCTGATCCGCTGGAAATCGATCGGAGATCTTTTGTAGTTGGGAGCGTTACCCTCTGGTTTTAGTGGGTTTAATGGTTAGAAAAACCTTACCTATGTATTGCATTGGTTTATAACTCACTCACTGATTAATGCAGCCTTTGTTCATAGTTATCTTAAATTCTAGAATAAATATGGTGATAGGAACGGATATAGATATGTGCTGCTGTGACTGTCAGAATAAATATTTACAGATTTGTCAAGATAAATACTTAAGGCCACAAAAGAGACGCAAGGGTTTCTGCGTTTGTCGCCGCCTGCGTTTTGGGATAGTGGTTTATTCCACCGTTTGATGGTTGGTTGGTTGGTGTGTTTTTTTTTTTTATAGCTGAGAATTGTTCTGGCTACTGCACGTGTGCCCACTGCTTGGAGCAGCCCGGCTGCGGGTGGTGCACCGATCCGAGCAACACGGGCAAGGGGAAGTGCATCGAGGGCTCTTACCGAGGCCCGGTCAAGATGCCAACGCCGTCTGCGACGGGGAAACACAGCTTGGAGCCCGTCCTGAACGTCAGCATGTGTCCTGTGGAGAACAGCTATAACTGGTCCTTTATTCAGTGTCCAGGTAGGTGAGCAACGTTTAATTCTTCAAACGTTTCAGCCTTGGCAACAATTAGGCGTAAGGGGGGAGACTTTTTAAGACGATAGTGATGTCTGTGTTCCTTCTGTCAACGGAAGGAGGAGAAGAGCTTGGAACACAAACCAGAAATAACGCTTTTTGAGATGGAGGGAGTTGTTGCAGGTACCTGCAGGTGGGCTGCAGAGGTTTGCTGCGTGAAGGCTTGTCTGTGCCTTACTCTGGTGATATTTTTCCTTTCTCTACAAACCCCAAAACTGAGTTTTTAACATTTGTTTGTTTATTTGTTTTAGGGTTATTTGAAAGAAAGGGAATTCTTTTCTTTGAAGGTTGATTTAACTGTTAGTAGTGCTCAGGGTGATTCTGAAATAACATTTTTGACACAAACATACAGAACAAAGTTACTTGGACTGCTGCTAATCCTTTCTTTCCCATTTCTCCTTGGAAATCAGTCCCACCAGCTGCTTCTAGTCCCGTCCGTCCAACGCACGTAATGTTTCGGAGTTCAGTTTTCCGTGTGTTGCTTTCAATTTCAGATTTTCAATGCACACCTCTCTTTTTGAGTTCGTGTCTCACTAGCGAGATGGCGAGAGCCTCTTTGGAAGGTGCATGAAATGGTTTCATTCAGCCTCTACAGAACACGGACTTCGGAGGCTCTGTGAGAAGCGCTGTATTTGAGCACAAATAACTCATCCTTTTCTGTTTTCTTCAGCCTGCCAGTGTAATGGGCACAGTAAGTGTGTAAACGAAAGTATCTGCGAGAAGTGTGAAAATCTGACAACTGGCAAACACTGTGAAACTTGTATCTCAGGCTACTATGGTGATCCTACTAATGGAGGAACATGTCAGCGTAAGTGATGCCTTAAATCTTCCTATGCCAAAGTCTTTGATGTTTTTTGCTCTTTACTTATTTCTCTGGTTTCCTAACTGAAATGATATCCTGATAATACAGTTTTTCTTTCCTGCAAGCAAGGCACAATCCCTGTTTCTTCAAATCAAAGATACAGAAACTGGTGGATGGAAGTCTTTGACTTTCATTGCACAAGTTAAAGGTGATTTTTTTTTTTTTTTTTTTACCCTCCTTTGTAAACTTTAAATGACCACAGTGGAAAAACGCGTGCATTTTGGTGTTTGACAAAAAGAAACAGTGTTAATCCAAACGTCTTGAACAAATTTCTGCTTATCTAAATTCCACCTTCTCTTACATTTGGTTAATGTGTTGTGTGTTTATTGTTATAATTGTCTGCTTCATAAACGGCTCGCCGTATTTCACTGAGGAGTTGGCTGGATTTCGGTTGATCCCTGTTAAAATTGCATTTTAAGTTAGTGAAGTGCTTTGGGACTCTTTGGCACAAAGAATTTTTCTCTGTTGTGCAAGATCCAGTTAACAAACAGCGAAAATAATATTTCTTGAAGGACCAATACAGGTAATACTGAGAAATGAACATGTGTAAGATTTGGAGTTTTGCCCTTGAACCTTACAACATTGTTCTGAATTACTGTGAATTGTGTAGTGTTGTAGCATGGGGAGACCAGTTGTAAACCAGAATCCAGCTGTGGTGGCTGTTAGGCAGATGCAATGGAAGGTGCTTCTTGCTTTGAAGAACTTTAATGGAGTATAGTTAGGTGGAGCGACGTGATTAGGTGCAGCCATGGAAAAGATAGAACAGAACTAACGTTGTTCGGTGTCAGAGGAGTATCAGAACTTCCATGAAATGAGTGTGCCTGGTTTTTAGGATCCCAGAAGAAATAAGTGAAGGTGATTAATGAGGGGACGTTGGAGACTTCGAGTTGCTCCTTTCAAGTGTGGAGACAATCCAGTAGAAAATACTTGGAAATTCATTTAGTGTATTTACTGGGAATAGCATCAACCTTTTGGAGGAAGACGAGAGTCAGTAGCTGAAGCATGAACGTCCTGTTTCCTAAAGCAAGAGCAAGTTGGTGATCTTTGAGGCTATGAAGAAGAACCTCCCAGTGGACAGATTCGAGGAAGGGGGTGAAAGGATCACAGACAGGGACACGGCTGCCTTACTCGGAGAAAAGGGTGTTGTGGTAGCTGGGATGTGAAATTGCGGCAGACGGCACAACGGCACGGGTACAAAGGAGAAGGTGCATCTCTGACACTTTATTTCAGAACATTATCTGCGAGATTAAATACCACTGATATTTGTAAACTCATTTCGTGTGAAGACGGTTTGAAGTGCAGGAAGGAATAAATTGAGACTGGGTTGGCCTGAGAAAATACGTAGTTCTCCTCCGAGCGTTCAGGTTTAATCACTGGATCACAACGTGGCTTTTGATATTTGTTGCTTTTCTGTGCTTGTGGAAATTGAGAATAAGTTACTTTGGACTCTTTCGCATGACAATTGTCCAAAAATATATGAATGATAGGCTAAAGTCATCCAGATGCCTGAAAAAGAAATTAGAAAGCATGTGGAGAGACTGGGGAACAGCATTCATTCGTTATCTGATGAAACTAGTAGCTCATGTCAAAAGTGCTTTGCTCTCAAGCGCTTTGGGTCCGGGTTTTTAATTTGCTGTGATTTAACGCTATTTACTGTGAAGGCGAAAGACTGAGGGAAACGGGAATCTGGGCAGAAAGACCGAGGTGAATCGGAAGTTTAAGAAATCATCGTATCTGATGCAGCCACAGCGACTGCTGGCCATTAGTAATTTTTACTCGGTGACAAGGTTTCCAGAGGGAAATTCTTCAGATAAGGATTGGCTGACAGGCAGCAGAGCCAGCTCCTGCTTTTTCCCTCCTCTGAGCCATGGTTCGTCCTTCCTTTCCTGTGAATGAGGTGCTGATTCCGCGCTTTTTTGTGCATTTGTGTGCCGCTCTGTGTTTAGAGCCTGCGGCCACATCCGTGCTGGAGGTGGGTGCTGGTACACACCATCCTGACGCACAAGCAGCGTTGTGTTTGCACACTTAGTGCCTTGCCCTGTGACGTGCGGATCGGCAGCGTTAGCCCCGTGGCCCTAGCAACACGGGGACCATAAATATCCTCAAAATATTTGAAAAAGTGTTAGTGTTTGGTATTTCCCATTCTGCTGAGCCGTCCGGAGTTTGAGGGACGCTGTTGGGACAGCAGCAGCCTTTCAAACAGGTCAGGCTACGCAGAGCTGGAAGTGAGAACGCCGGGTTTCAAAAGCCAGGGAGGAATAAGAAGAGTGGGTGGAATAAGATGCCTTTTCCCGCCGCTCTGTGCCACCAGGGCAGGTGAACGCTGCTAGATCGCTTGTGTTGAAAAAAATTTTGACAAACTGGAGTTCTTTCTCTGAAAGAGTTGTTTTCGTATCATCATAGGCATTGGTGTTTGCGGAGCTGGGCAGATAATAACTAAATGGTAGGTAAATCACTCCTCAGCCATTGCTTTTAGGAAGTGTCCAACATAGAGAAGTGTTAATCGGGAAGGGCAGGAAATGCAGCACATCAAATGTAAAAATAGCTGCAAGGTGCTTTCTCTGCATTCGGGATTTTTTTTGAGTTTTCTGATTAAAGTTTCACATGAAAATATGCTAGCGGTAGATAAGGAAGTTATTTGCAAGAGAAGGGAAGGCGCTATTATGGCTGAAATCAGATTGCTGCTGCGGCAGCGCTTCTGAACGCCTCCGTGGAGCGTTTGCTGGTGGCCCACGATGAGCTGCTGGTGCCGTGGTCCTGCCTGCTCCCTGCACCCAGGGCTGCACAGGGGCCTTGGGGGATGGCTAAAGCACTTGGCGTGGAAAAATGGTGCTGGGCCGGTGGGTGATGCCAGTGTTCTGGACTGTTAGAAATTCAGGAGGAGGAGCAGCGATCCCCGAGAGCATCTCGGAATGAGTCTGGGACCTGTGGTTTGTGAAGAACGTGGAAGGAGACTCGCTGTAAGGTGGTTCATCGTCCGACTATTCCTGTGCTTCACAGTCAAAAAGCCATCTCCAATAATTTTGGCTTTCTGCTCTGGCATCAGACTCTGGAGGGAAACTTTGGACTCTAGCAAGGGTCTCTAGTACACTTTGTCGATAGTTGGTTTCTGAACTTCATAGTTGCCTGAAAAGCCATGAGAATATTTCTCTTCTTTGTGTATGTTGTGCTCCTTCAGTGAATGATCTCCAGTTACGAGGCTCATAGGAAAATGGATAAATAAATAAGACTCTGTTGTTTTAAATTAAGATGTTTGAGTGTTCAGTCTTCTTGATAAGCATGCGGCTGAAGAGCAGGGTGAGGAAGCATTAATGTTAGCACTCAAGGTGCTGTGATCTGCATCTAAACAACGTGAAATTTGAAATTTCTCCTAATTTTTATGTATGCTAGCGTTGAATATTGATCGAATTTCACTTCGCTTACCTTTTGCAAAGCCGAGGGCAGGCAGTACGAGGCATTCTCAATACTATTAAGAATTATTTTTTTTGAAGTGCCACTAATGAGAAGTGTGTTTGCTTCAGAGAATACAATTATTTTGTCAAATCTTCATTCAGTCTACTTGTTCCTGCAATAGGCCTTTATGCTTATTCGTATTTTGTTCCGTGTTGCTGCTAGGAAACCACTCATCCACATCTGAGAAGCACAATTAAGTGTCCCTGATACAATATAGCTTCCATTACATGCCAATATAAAGACAACATCAAAAGGATTCATAAAATAAGGTCCAAGGTTGGCAAGGATATTCAGGATGGGGACTTCACGTCTAAGATACTCTGCTGGTCCATTGAACGGCACGTGTCGTCTTAATGAGAAGGCGTATGTCTTCTTAACGAGGAGGCGCCAGCCTTTAGAGCATGTGATTTCCAGCCAGCTCAGGGAGGGCGAATGAGGGCTCTTACCTTCTCTTTGTGTACTTTTTCCCTTCATGTGTTGTACACTCTCCCATGCACAGCTCCAGGTGATTGTCCCTTCCAGTTCAGTGGTAGAACAACTTCTAAAAGGCCCCTGCCTTCCGGGAAAAGTCATTATATCCATTCTTCTAGTTACAGTGAACATTATATCAAAGGCAACTGTTGTTGTTTGTTATTTTGGTTTGTTGTGTTGTGCTTTTTTTCCTCTACTTCTTTATCTTAAAGCGTGCCAACGTTAGCATTTTAATTTGAACCAGGAGCGTTCTTTTGAAGCAAATCTCCCCTACCTCCCCACTGTCATACCTTGGTTTGCATCTCGAGCGGGCTCGGACTACGAGTTGGTCTATTTTGGGCGTGCCACAACCCTGATGTAGTCTAAGGGCGTGCTGATTTGCTTCCACCATGACTTGGTGGCATTCAGCTCGTGAGACCAGGCTAAAGCTATTCTAAAATATGTTGGGGCACACGCCCCAAACCACTTAGAGCGTGGACAGCACACTCATAGCATGAGCCATTTTACACTGCAGATACACTGACGTTGTTGATCATGACATAATTTTCTCACAGGCCTGTTTATTTCTAGAAAAAGCCCTAAAAGCACCATGAGCTTTGCTTGATTTGCAAAAATAATCTTCTCTCGAGTTTTGACTTGGACTGAAATATGTTAGCAAGCCCAAAACTGTTCCAAATAGCGCCTTTTTCTTCCCAGTTATGGTATCCCTAGTGCTATCTAACAACAAGGGAGGAAGTTAAATAAGTTTTTGAGGCTAAAAAGCACAGTTGGATCATGATTTCATACAAAACATCAGTCCTGGAGCCCACACTCGCTCCGTTTTGACACACGGTTCTATTTTTGGCTGCCTTCCGTATCGCAACGAAACCGAAGAGCACCAAATGGGTTTTCATATGCACTTTAATTGTTGATGTATCTCAGTTTGGCAACTAAAGGCCTTAATTGCTATTGAATCTGTTTCTCTTGCTTCATTCAACACGGCATCTTTTTCCCCTTCTGCTCAACAGCTTGCAAGTGCAACGGCCACGCATCTGTCTGCAACACAAATACAGGGAAATGTTTCTGCACCACCAAGGGAATAAAAGGCGACGAGTGTCAACTGTGAGTTCATTTCGCTTTGTTATTTGGAATCAAACGGCCGTGCACATACCGGCGTGGAACCCCTACATTTTTTAATGATTGTATTTATGATGTCTCTGCTCATCTCTCCCTGCTGACAGTTGACTAACTTCATTGACGGTGCAGCCAGCCGTGCGTCCCCTGGGGGGGGATGACGTGAACAAAATGATTTCCTGAAGATTTCCGTTTTTAACAACATTTCAACTGGGAATGGCATGCAGAAGGGATGGGGTGAAAAAATAATGCCCCCCCCCCAACTGTGCATACCACTTTGCTTTATCCCTAAATAGTTTCTTTTTTAATGGGTAGATTTTTACTGTCTGTGTCGTCTGATGCTGTTCTGGGGGAGTGTAAATATATCTGAAATAAGACTTCGACGTTCAAGCATTTTAATGGAGCAGTTTCAGAGCAACAAATTTGCTGGAGGTTTCTCTGTAACATAACAGAAATGCTTTTAGTGTAATGTTAGTGGAAATAATGTCATTGCCAGGTTTATTTTTAGCGTTGCTCACAAGTTAACATTTATAGGACTAGAACCTGGAATAGCTGTAAATGTAAATGGAAAATTTAGATTTTGACTGTAGTAATCCGGTTTCATGCATTGTGAAGAGCTAGTAAATACATTCTAAGTGGATGCAAATATTACTATCCAGAATTTTAAATTTCGGTTTTGCTGGATACTGGGTTGACTTGTAGGGATTGTGGCATTTCTTCAGCAGCCCAGTATAGCTCAGACATGAATCTTCCGTTTTTAGTTGTGTACAGTTATTGGCACAGGTGTTTTCTGATTTTTAGTGGCTGGGAATAAATAGAACTGAAAAAAAAATCCATTTATTAAAAAATATGTACTCTTTTTAGGTGTGAAGTTGAAAATAGATATCAGGGAAATCCACTTAAAGGAACGTGTTACTGTGAGTACTCTTGGGATTTTGTTTTCGAGATAAAAAGTGTATTTGAAGTTTAAAATATCTTATTTAAAATTGGTTTTAGTTGCCTCAGCATCTGTTTAAAATACAAGGGATTAAGGGAAGGACTAAAAACTTTAGTTTTCACAAAAGTATTGTTCAAAGAGGACAAAAATACTCTTCTTGGTGAGGTCTATGGGATGATTGGATCTTTTGGAACAAGCTTTTGAATGTTTTTCATGTGACTGAAATGAAATCTGGTCTTCTGGAGAACAGTCTAAAGTGTGTACCTGAGAAGCCAAACCCAAAGCACGTTGGTAGAATTTTTGTAAGTGCGAAATACTATTTTTTTAAAAAATTCTATTCTGTGTTAGAATGGGTAAGGTTTCAAAATTGCCACGTTTCCTCTGAAATGAACAGTTGGATTCCCGTGCAATCCAAGATGATACTTTGCCAAGATTCAGATGACTTAATGGAAACTCTCCAGCTTCTATTTGCAAATATTAGCAATCAGCACACTGGCAGGCCCTGGGTAGATGTGATCTTAAATTCCAGGAAGATCCAAATCTCAAATAGGATTTTTGTGCAACACAGAAATTATCAACATGCTGTATTTAGCAAATTTGAATGCTGCTTGCGTGGCCAAACAAGGGCACTGATGGCTTCTCATGACAGTCTCCTTGCAAGGATGACCTAATTCGTTACTGCCAATGTCGGGTAATGTGGGCAAAAAGGGGTAAAAACATTGCAGCCCTTACAGGAACAACCTTGTGCTATACAGATTCAGTCGTAGTTGCTTTTCTTCCTTGAAAATTTCTGTCTTAGTGCTTCATAGGAGTTGTGGGTAGGTGTCAGAAGGTTGTCTAGCTCGTGTCTGTTCAACAAGGGCTTTCCAGGAGGCCGTAAGAGAAAAATAGCACTTGATGTATAGCTGCTTGTTTATAGTTGCTTGGAAAAATCTCTGCATGGGTTCAGGAGTACGTACAATTCGTAATACTGCCTTTTAATGAAAGGATACTGAGGCTGGTGGATGTATCCCCAAACCTGGCTGTGTGCTGTCAGTTAACAGAGAGGTGGTACCCCAGCCGTAGGCAGACGTGAGCACAGGAGGGCATACAGGTGGGCCAAAAACTGGTCCTGGCATGGCTGGACGTGCTGTGACCCACAGCGGGATGGCAGCTGGGTCCATTAACAAGCGGCTGCTCCATAGAAATCCTCCCTGTAGAGCCCACTGGTGTTACAGAAACTTATTCATGGAACTTAGTCCCCTCCCAAGCGGGGATTATACCGTCTTATTTTACATTGCTGGTATTCCCTGAGCACGTGGAGGTATGGCAGTATGGAAAAAGTAAATGTCTTGGCATGTTTTTTACAAGGTATGTAGGCATGAGCAGTCATTTAGATTAAGGAAAACATAAGCAGAATCTTTTTTCCCTCTAGACTCAACTTAAACCGAGGTTTGGTCCCTTTCGTGTGGGGTCATACGTAGGTTGGAGTCACTCGCAACAGCGTGGTGACACCTGGTTGTGCTCTCAGTGCCAGAAACCCTTGAGCGACATCAGGCCTTGCTTTGCAGAAGTTTCTTTTATTCCAAGGCACGGGGTAACTTTCCCCCTGCATTCCTTACAGATACCCTTCTCATTGACTATCAGTTCACCTTCAGCCTTTCTCAGGAGGATGATCGCTATTACACAGCAATCAACTTTGTAGCAACACCCGAAGAGGTAAATTTTCTACTTTCTTTTTAAACTTCATCCTTTGAGTATATGTTTGTCACCTCTGGGCCGTGGAGACGATGAATCGTTACAGTTCTGCGAGTCTCCAGGTGTCGTCTCGTAACGTTCCATGCCCAGCTCCAGAGAGCAACCAGAACTTTTTGAGCTTGGCTTGCCCATGCAGCGACAAATCTTCATGGTAAAATTTCCTAAGGAACTGCAGTTCATTCTTCACTGTTGTTTGAACAGCTGCTAAGCAACTCGTAATTTTGCTTGTTGTTCCCCCAATATGTTGTGTCTCTGTTCTTCCCGTTTTATTCTATGTGCGTGACTTGTTTTGTTCTTTATTGTGCTTTCCTTGGGGAGGAGAATACTGCTTTCAGAAAATGTAAATAGTTTTTGTTTGACGCATTTGCTTCATGTAAATAACAAATTCTGGTTATTTTTTGGTTTTCAGTGCAGGTTTGCTAGGAAACACTACAGTAAGATTGTTATCCTAAAAATAGGTTTTCTCTTTTTTTTTTTCCCCCCCAAGCAAAACAGAGACCTGGACATGTTTATCAATGCATCTAAAAACTTCAACCTCAACATTACTTGGTCCACAAGTTTTGCAGGTAAAATGAGCATGATCTAAGTGGCTTGGTAGCTTGTTTCAGTTACCGGTTTTCATCAAATGCAAATTTAATTGGGGAATTTTTTTTTTTCAAGTATGAACTTGTTCTGTAATGGTTTTGAATGTTAGGTCTCAGGGGCAGAGGTAAAATGTTAAAAAGAACTGTGTTTTTCTGTCTTAATGGTGTATTTTGGAAACATTGAAGGTGCAATAGTTTGGCATATAGTGCTTTTGATAATGCAATGCAGCTGAAAATTGTAGTGTTCAGATGAATAGTTAATTTTGCAATATTAAAATTCGGGATGCTTTGCTTTTTTTGTTTGCCACTTAAAATGTGCATTAAAAGATCTTTTCTTGCTACTTTTTAACATTTGAAAACAGCTGGCACGCAGGCTGGGGAGGAAATTCCAGTTGTGTCAAGAACCAACATAAAAGAATACAAGGACAGTTTCTCCAACGAGAAATTTGATTTCCGCAACAATCCAAACATCACTTTCTTTGTTTACGTCAGCAATTTCACCTGGCCGATCAAAATACAGGTAGGAGCTGTTAACGTGTGTGTAATCCTTTTGTTTCTCTCGAGTGATGTGGCAGTTCGGTGTGCTTTGTGTTGTCCAAGCTGGACCAGCTCTCAATATAATCCTGCAACAGACAAAGGGTTTGATGTTGCTGATGAAGAGCAGAAAGATGCGTCATCTTCTGATGTTGCCTCAGCCCAGTGGATCTAAAAATGCACCGTGAAATGAAGGGGGATGCTCGCTTATTAACAGGGCTGTGTTCTAATGAGAACTTTGACTTTAAACATGTAGATATTGATGTCAAAGCGAAGACCTATATAGCCAAAAACCAAGCCCCGAATGAGAAAACAGAGGAAATGTTCTTCGTGTCTCTTTTTAACGTCTTGTTCTCAAAAGGCACAGCTCGAGGCCCATCCCTTCTCTCCTTGTGCTGGCCGAGACTGGTGGTACCAGCAGAATAAGATGAAGCTCATTCATTACGTTAATTCAGTGCAGTTAACACACACATTGCCTCAGGTGTCAGACTGACAGTGATGAAACAGCTACTGCTCAAGAAGCAATGGATGAAGCTTGGTGGATCATGAAAACACTCATAGATCACAGACTGCAATCACAGAGACCCTGCAACTGCTGCGGCAGCTAATAATTCAGAGAAACCTTGGCCACCTTCTTGCTCTGGGCTAAGTCAGGTATCAGCCCACAGTGTGCTCAGAATGATATGGGTGCCCTTTGAAGGACAAAAGGACTTCTAGATCTGGAACAGAGATCTCAAAAGAGGCCCTGCATTTGTGTCCCCCAGGGCTCGGTGGCATCCCCTAGGGCTCAGTATGGGGGCAGATCTTGTTTAACATCTTTATTGACAATCTGGACAAGGGGATCGAGTGCTCCCTCAGCAAGTTTGCAGATGACATGAAATTGGGTTGGAGTGTTGATCTGCTAGAGGGCAGGAAGGC